TGTAACTAATGAGAATATAAAACGGTAAAACTCCGCAATAGAAAATGTTAGATAATATAAACTTAAGTACTGATTTTCTGACAATCTGATGGTTGGATCCATTGTCAAACGGTACATCCTAATTCTTAATTCTATTCTACTGAACTATTACTTAACTGAAGTAATGAATTTGAATAGAACATAAAATATAATTTTAGGTGTTCTTAAGCATAAATAGTTCTAAAAATAGGGCTGAGAAGAAAATACTAAGGGAGCCAAAGTAATTCTGTCTGAAGAACTGGCTTAGATGTTGAGAAGCCTGAAGCATACTGAAGAATAACAATAGTGGAGAAGATAACAACTCACTCTCTTTTTTTACTGCTGGAGAAGAGAAATGCTTTTAAAACAAAACAGGAGGGAAGCAGAATAGACATGAAGAAAATTTTCCTGATACAAAAGATTGCAAATCAGATAACCAAGAGACAGAGTAAGTCAGAAAGAGGTGATTGAACGAAAGTAATGGGTAGGTGCACCAGAGCACCCTGAGATTTCCTCTTTTCTTCTATGTTAGTTTAATCTGAGAAGCTATAGAAAAGCCTTATTTTGATAACATTTGTGTAACTAGCTCAAACAGTGATTTGCCAGACTTACTAAATCAAAGAATATATTTAAGAGTAGATCAGGTAGTTTTGGCTAAAGTTTGCATCGTTCAGAATCTACAAATTAAAATGCAATTTTATCTGCTGAAGAGCAAACTGACAGCAAAAGGTATATTTAGAAACATCTCGGTCTGAAAAAAAAAACTCCTGGGGTGTATGTGGGAGTGTGACACAATTTCTGGAATAACAGGTCTAGATAATCAACTTACATGTGTACAGATTCTAACAAGTTCGCTTGGAAGTTAAAGTAACAGAGAAAGCAATCCGTGAATAGTTACACAATCACCTGCACATAACTGGTTGTTAAGTTCAACATAAATTTATAAAAGGTTGTATAGAAATACAATGTAATCTCAAGTTCTAGGAGCTAACTACCTCCAATAAAATATTCATTTCCATAAACATAAAAAAAGAAACAAAAACTGTATTGACGTATTTTTCCATAGCAAATGAGTATGAAGAGAGGTTTATAGAGAATGTAAAATTCAGTAAATAACTGCAGTCTACCAGGTATTCCATTTGGCTTTAGATACCAAACGTGAAAATATTTTAAATAAAAATACTTGTCAAATTTTGTGACAATTCCCACTGAAACACATAACTGCTTGTGTGTTCTTACCTTTCTTTAGTTATTTTCACATTCAGAACCAATGTATATTTTCTGGAATAAGTGTGTACATATAAGGAAGTTATTGAAACTCCTTCATAAGCAAGATATTGTCCTTGTATCCTTCCTACATCCTCCTCAATTAGTTTTCTGGATTAATAAAATTTTCACTATAAGCAGAAATTTTCAAGATGAAGTCAAATGATTGATAACACTTAAAGTCCACGTTAAATTAATTCCTTCAAATCAAGTATGGAATCAATTTAGGGGAAAGTCTCTGTTCCTACAAGCCACCTTCACTTTTCCCTTAAAATTTGCTTTACCTTTATTTCTGCAATGTAAGAATATTAGGAGTGAAGAAAAGTGAAACAATTTTAAGAATCATGATGGTAGATGTGGGATTGAATTTTATCTTGAATTAATAATTATTTCTCAAGCAATAGTCAGTATAGACATGTCTACATGTTTTATGTTTGCCTAACTTCTAAAGGCATTAAGGTATCTGGTTTGGCTTATATACAAGCCACAACTGTATTGGAGTGTTGTAACTGAATTTCTTACAAAATGTCAGTATATTACACATCCTTCCATACAGTGTGTAGGCAGTGTGGTGTGGATGAAAGAGATGTGGAGAGGTAAACCCCAGGTTAAAATCCAGCTTTCTCTATTACTAGGATGTGGAACTTGGGCAAATTACTTAGCTTCTCCTAGTTTCAGTTTTCTCAATCTGTAAAGTGGGAATATTAACTATAATCCTCAAATTGTTGCTATGAAGATTACAAGAGATTGTGTATATATACCCCAGCATTCAGTATATAATAAATTGTATTATTTAATTCCTGTGCCTTCACATAACATTTTGCACTGATAATGTTTTCCCAACCAAATTATGAATTAAAAAGGGGGAACAATGTTAGGATTCATAATTAAATCATTTTTGTTTAAACACAATTCAAATCAAGTTCTTTCAATGACTTAGTTCTGATACACAATTAGGATAGTTAAGGGATTAATATTAGACTTTGGTTATCAATTACAATGCTTTTGAGGTTGTAAAACCAGCAAAATGAATTTTAATATTTATTCATTAAATATTTTATTTCATTATTTCATTCAATATTTTATTCAAAAGCACCCAAATGCTTTTCTACATGCAAAATTTTGTGATAGCAGTTAAATATTAGCTTCAAGAAACATTTATTATTAGATGAATAAAGTTACCAAGTATTTTAAGTAATTTTGCCTGCTTGTAGATTACAGATTCTGAATCAGTCTGATATATGATTTAATTTAAAATTTATTAAAATGATCTACTTTCTACTTCTATTTTTTTCAGAGTCTACTAAAAAAACTAGGGAAAGAAAATTATTTGTTTTAAATATGCTTGCATGAAATGGGAAACTTGTAAGGATTCTTCTAATTTGGTATATAAATTTTTGAAAGCATTTTATTAGTCAACATCAAAAAAAAAATGCTAGAAAAATTAAAACCAACTAGCCTAAACACAAAGTAGAATGCAAGATAACTCTTCTTCTGTCAGGAAAAGATGATCAGGTCTAACTGATGTTAGACCTCCAATAGTTATTTATCCTCAATGCTTTCAATTGGAGAAGGAATATAATTTATTTTGACTCAAAGATATCCTACAAATGTTTGAAAATAATATTCTGAAATGCAGTGCAAAGACATTTAAAGGCAAGAGAACTAAGTGAAAATTTGATGGCAAAGATATAATTTGTTTCACAGATAGAAGAATAACTGTATCAGAAGACTGAAAAATATGTTAAAGATCTGAATCAACAGAAGGGCCAATAAAACATAAAAGGTGGAAGTCCTGGGCACTAGAAAAATAGAATAAATGTTAAGTGATGTAACATCTAACTCATAGGATCATAGCAGATGGCAAAAAAAAAAAAAAAAGGTGGCTTATATAGTAAGTCATAAGTATTTTGGACAGAAAATTGGGAAATTTAGGTTGTCTTTAGCTAAATGAAGATAGAAGAATATGAGTGAGAAAATATTGTTCAAGAGATAAAAACCTAAAAGCAAGAATATGGGGATTTGTGTTTTCCTCTTAGCTTTTTAACCTCCCATAGAAATCTTAGATCTTAAATAATGTCTATATAGAGAATTTGGAAAAATTAAGTGAGATCATCACTGTTTGCAAATTGATAGAAAATAATCTGTGCTTATAAAAAAAAAGTCCCTTATTTGACATAAAGTGCTTTATTTAAAAAAAAAAAAAAACATGCTGAGGTGTTGTTTAGAGATAGTTATCAGTAATGAAAGAAGCAAAGGAAGCTTTTAAAAAGACAATATGATTTGAAGGATATATATAACATGTTATCACTAAAAGGTATATTCTATTATAATGTAAATAATAAATGCTTCTCACATATCAAAGATCATATGAAAAACTGGCAAAAAGAGAAATTATGAAAACAGGATTAGTGAAGAAACAGTTATGAAAAAAGAGGTAAGCCTCAGTCTGCTCAAAAATGATAGGTTTGGCAGCAATCCTTCCTTCCACAGGGATGTGGCATGCCAGATGAATGATTTTTCCACACAGTGTTTTAGGTCACGGGAAGAGGACTCATTTTCAGATAAAGTCACCAGGCTTTGCTTAGGAAGGGAATAAAAAGATATTACCAGTTCAAAACTACAAATTATTTTTGAAGTTATTTTAAATGGGAAATGTAATTTTATTTGGGTGAAAGATGGCCTATTCAGAGAATGAAGGCTATAGCATTATGTAGTCTTAACCATCTACCTACTTAAAAATTCCATATAAGTATAGCTCTATAAGTTTTCTGATAAAAATGTGCTTCTTAAATAAATGAATACGGAACATGAACATACATACAAAAAATAAAATAAAATGAAAAAAGGCTAATATTTGACTTTGTCTACTTTGTTCTATGCTCTCTTATGAACTTCCAAAAACCAGAACCAAATATGTTTGTTAAAATGCCTGGAAAGAAACATTTAGGACTTGGAAGGTTAAAATAAATGGCATTTCAAATTAGGTTTTGGTAGTTCCTTCTCTAGAGCCCTTTGAGACAATGTTTCTGCATTCTCCATTAGGAGAGAGAAAGCAAGAAATCAGGTAGCTGCTTTCTCTTGTGCAAAATTCACTGTCATAGAACTGACCTGCCAAAAGTATGGGGGGTGGGGCAGAAAAATGTACTCATGGAAGAATGTGTGCTCTGTTAGGAAGAGAACTTATAAGAAAGCTTATTTGTGGACTATAGACTATTGCACGTTCAAACAAAACACAAGAGAAAAGAATGTCCAACAGATAATATGTTCACAACAGTTCAACATATAAACTAGCTTGGGCCCAGAAATAAAACATGGATACCAGACACCACTGCAGTCAAACCTGTCTTAATTTGCTTCTGTTTTAATGACCTTTAGAAACTGGTCCAAACTGATTATCAGCAATACATTGTTTTTGCTTTTTTTCTTAAAAAAATATTTTGAGACCACTTTTGATACACACACATATAATTCTGTGGTCATAACAGACAAATATAACTTTAAGGAGACTACACAAAAGTGCAAAACTTAAAAAAAACAAAATTAAAAAATATGGAAGCATAAGCTAAATTTTTCTGCATAGCTGAAATCTATTTAAAGCAAGTCCTGTTGCAGGGGTGGGAGGGGATACTGACAGGAAGATAAAGCAGTTTTAATGTCTTCTGCACATTTAAATGATGCAAAAAATAATTTCACTCCATAGGCTTGAAAATATTTCACAGACAGTTCATTCCTATATCTTTAGACACCATGGTAGTAGCAGTGCCTCCTTCTGCAAGGTAAACTGCGGTGCTGGATTTGGAATGAACTGCCCTGTCACTGCCATTGTTGTTGACCTCACAGTCCAGAGGTTCAGTGGAGATGACCCAGGTGGAGGGGCGCCACCGCTTAAGAGAATAGGGAGTTTTCACACGTTTCTTGATCTTTTCACCAGATCCTGATTTGCCATCTTGTGTTGATTCACCTACTGGAAATAAAGGTACAGAAAAATAAACTATATATAAAGAAACTATTAAATAATAAAAACTTAGGGTTGTAACTTAAGAACAGAATAGACTAATTATCTACAGGAGATTTTAATAGATATTACTTGAAATTCATGATGCCAGGTAATTATTCTCTAGGCAAAACTTAACCAACTTATTTTGAGACTCTTCAAGTCCAATGTTTTTATAACTGGTTGAATTATTATACAAGGACAAGCAAAAACAGAGGAGAAAATGAAAACTTCTCAGCTGTATTCTCAAATCCTTTGGTTATTGGTAGTGATCCTAACTTGGCAAATGCATTTAATCACTCTACTTAATGTTCAAAGCAGATCAAACTTTATTTTTAATTTTTAATTTTTTGAGAGCGAGAGAGAATATGTGTGAGTGAGCGGGGGATGGGCAGAGAGAGAAAGAGACAGAATCCTAAGGAGGTTCTAAGGACAGAGCCCCACGTGGGGCTCCAACCCATGAACTGTGAGATCATGACCTGAGCCAAAATCAAGAGTCAAACACTTAACAGACTGAGCCACCCCCAAAAAGATCAAATTTTAAAGGCACCTGGCATATAATATTTTCAGAAGAATGACACAAATACTATAATACAAATTTTCTAGTAATTCCCCCTTCCCACACTGACAAGACATTTTATTGATATGAAGCCCTGCCACAGGGTGTGTCAAATGATCTATGATACAAGCCACTCAAGCAAAGGGCTAGATTCTACTGATTTTTTTAAAATTTTGTTTTAATGTTTATTATTTATTCTTGAGAAAGAGAGAGCATGAGTGGGAGAGGGGCAGAGACAGAGGGAGACACAGAATCTGAAGCAGGCTCCAGGCTCTGAGCTGTCAGCACAGAGCCCAATGCAGGGCTTGAACTCGTGAACCACGAGACATGACCTTAGCTGAAGTGGGATGCTCAACCGACTGAGCTACCCAGGCACCCCTTTACTGATTAATTTTTTAAGTAATCTCTTTGCCCAGCATGAGGCTTGAACTCATGACCCTAAAATCAAGTTGCATGTTCCACTGACTGAGTCAGCCAGGTGCCCCTCTACTGATTAATTTTTTTTTAATTTTTTTAACGTTTTATTTATTTTTGAGAGAGACAGAGACAGAGTGTGAGTGGGGGAGGGGCAGAGAGAGAGGGAGTCACAGAATGTGAAGCTGGCTCCAGGCTCCAAGCTATCAGCACAGAGCCCGATGCAGGGCTTGAACTCACGAACCGTGAAATCATGACCTGAGCCGAAGTCGGACGCTTAACCGACGGAGCCACCCAGGCGCCCCACTACTGATTAATTTTTGAGACCTAAATCCCTTCAGCCCATTTTGTACTCCTTGGCAACAACCATATAATATGACTTTGAGTTTTTTCATAAAGTGCTGTCAGTCTAAAACATAAATTGTTTTGTATAATGATGACTATTAAAGATTTTGGTGAGCTCTCCTGTCTTGTGTTATAACCTCTTTATAGCCAGAAACCAAGTATCAAGTTATTTGTTTAGATTTCTAGGGGACCCAACGACACAATGCTATAGGCATGTAGGAGGCTCAACATGTAACTCTTGAAAAAGATGACACTAAAAAAACACAAAAAAACAAAAAACAAGAACAAGTTTGTTTTTTTTTATAGTGACTTTTTCTGAATTTTCTCTGGACTTCTCAGATTTATTAAGTTTAGTCTGATAAAATCTACATGTGTCTAAAACAGATGTTAATATACTCAACAAACTGTTTCAAAAGTTCTACTGGCATCATTCTACCTGGAGCTTTTTTTTTTTTTTTTAATGTTTATTTATTTTTGAGAGAGAGAGAGAGAGAGAAACAGAGCATAAGCAGGGGAGGGGAAGAGAGAGAGGGAGACAAAGGATCTGAAGCGGGCTCTGTGCTGACAGCAGACAGCCTGATGCAGGGCTCAAACTCACAAACTGTGAGATTATGACCTGAGCCGAAGTCAGACATTTAACTGACTGAGCCACTCAGGTGCCTGTTACCTGAAGCTTCTAAACTTGTATTTACTTAATCTCAACCATTCACAACAAGTATGTAAACTGCGTTATAAACCAGGAGCTATATAAGGTATGTATTAAGTTGGTAATTAATTATTTTGACTATTGTGACACTATTTCATTATCAGCAACAAAAAACTACTTTATTTCTTTACAATAGTCTGATCACTTTTGAGGTTCAACCAAGTAGTTTATTTTATTTCCAAAAGTGGTAAAAATAAATAATTGCTAGTTGAAACACATTTTGATTTTATCTAATTAATTATTTAAATGGTCCCAAAAGACAAGCAGGAGAGATTAAATGATCCCTGCACTTACACTGCAAACTGCTGCCATCAAGAACGTTTGTGGCTGAAAGATCCAGAGAATTAGGCCTCTGTGCTTTTCTGGGCTTTGATGGTCCAGGATCTGCTACTGTGCTTGAAACACCCTGCGTAAGATCATCTTGCTCTGAACATGGATTACTGTTGTTGTTATTGGAATTAGTTCGGCCACCTTCCAGTGGCCGTTCCCTCCTGTCCACAAGACGATCCAGAACACCTTCATCATGGCCAGCCTGTTGCTCTCGTCTCAGTAAAGGTTCATGCTCATCAGGACTGGAATTAATATTCAGCCGGGTATCCTCACCAATGAATTGATTCTGCAGCATTTCTTGGCCCCTATGTGCCACTGTGTTGGTTGTCTGGCCATTTGGTACTGTCCCATTAACATACTGGGTAGCGGCAGTGTGGGAGTTAACACTGTGGTTTCGACCTGCCACACCATTCATTGTGACCGTCACCACATGAGGTTCTGCAGCATTGATTGTATTCATCTTGGCAACTCCAGTTTCTACTTGTTTCAAGTTTGATTTGTGCTTGCTGCCAAATTTCAGCCGGGGCTCCTTGGTTGAATTTTTGGTGTTTAAAGGCAAACTAGTAGGTCTCTTAGGAAGATTCTGTTGCTTGGGCAGAGGATAGATCTGAGTGGGTGGAACATCAGGAATTAAACATGCTTGGCCATTTGCAGCTTGAGTGAAGTCCTGCTGTCCAGTCACTTCTACTGCAAGTTTTATGAGTGGGTAAAGCAAGCTAGAACTGGTACTGCTCAGTGGGTCTGGTCCACTGAACTGTTTAAGAGAATGCTCCATGAGATTCTCATCAGAACTTTCCTTGAGGTTCTTATCAACTTCTTTTGGGTCCAGCTTGTTGGTCTCCAAGTCTTCTTCTGTCAGTTGTAAGCAGACAGGGGTTGGCCCAATTGGCTGTGAAACATTTGTGGCATGCAGATTTGTTTCATCTGAGTATGGCATCTCAGATATAGTGGTCATGCCAGTGCTTGGAGTGAGGCCAGTGGTGTTTGTGGTTGTTGTATTGGTGGACAGGCTGGTGACGCTTGTTTCAGGGCTGGGGATTCGAGCTTGTGCTTGCTGTCGTTCATAGTTAATTGAATTTCGGTTCTTTTCCCCTATAGTCAAAGGTGTGCTAGACATTGAATGCTCAGAGGAAATATTCTTCACAATGCTGTCAGTATGATGGATAGAGTCTTCAATGTATGAGGAAGAAGAATAATCAGGATAAGGGCCAATCTTTGGCACGCGCCTATTGTGTGACAGGTTGCTTAAAGAAAGAAAAAAAGTGCCACATTGAGAATGTAAATTTATGACAAACTGACCCTCCAAGTTTAAGACCTCTGATTTTAAAGTATAAAATGCTCTTCATTTTATTCCTAACCCATATTATTCTAGAAGTTATTTTAAAATTCTGATCGCATAATCAAGTATCAATTAATAACTTGCTAAATGATAGCTTTATATTATTTAAGACTACTGAAAAACTTATGTCGATCTAGATAGATTTTCATAGATGTTCATTATTTTGACTTATAGGACTTAATTTAAAAATGTCCCCTATAGTTTTGTAACACTACCAAATATATTTTTATGAATTGTATTCTTGCACAACCGGACAAAGTTTCATGAGAGGAGGAGCCATGGTGTATATTTCTTTTGTACTCCTACAATCCTAGATACATCATTGTGGCTACTCAACAAATACATTACCAGTTAAGTTCCAATGGCCAAATGGTATAAAGAATATAAGCGTTTAGGTTGTTCTAGTGCTTCCATCAAGAGGCAGTCTAGCAATAGAATGTATCTTCCTGGGGGTAAACTGAGCCATATCAATGAAAGTCCTACAGCCTAAGAGTATAATGCAGAGTGAGACAGATAAAGGAACAACAATTCAGAACTGCTCTCCAGTTCTTCACAGCCATCAACACCCGCTGAGAGGGATGGTTTTTGAGCATTAAACTGTAACTTATTTAGGTTATTTAAAATAAAAGCCAGGACTAGCTTTAATTAAACAATGGCAACATTAATAGACACAAAATGTTATAGGAGAAAAGCAGCAGCTAAAGGAAAAGAGGTGCTATAAAGAAAGACTAATAAAGTTATGGGGGGAATGACAGGAAGGTGAAGAACAAAAAAGCAGCTGTACTGCACAAGGAAAGGACGTCTGGGTAAGGTTCAAAATAATGAAACCTAGAGTAGAATGACTATGGGATGAACCATGATTTAGGGGAAACTATTTAGAAGTGACTGGACATGAGAAACAGCATGTAAAGCATAGAACCGAAGGACTGTGGGGGGCAAAAAATGGGCAATACAAGGAGGGGGGAGTAGCATCAAGGATTTCTTCTTACCATTCAGGAAAAGTTCAAAAGCACTTAAAAATAAAAGCAACTGACTCTTGAGAGAGGTACAAGTAACATGCTAGAGTATAAAGAAAATACAGAGATCAGGGAAGACAGAAGTAGAAGACTATCCCCAGGTATGCATAGAGTGAGAAAATTTATATTTAGAATTGCTAGTTTTTACCTTCCTTGACTTGCTGATACATAAGGAATAAGGGTTCACATGCTGAAGCTAATTCAATCTAAACATAAGCAGTATAAACCCAATTTTGGGTCTACAATTCATAATACAAATTGCTCTTAGAAATTAGAACAATAGAAAATAGCCAAAAAAAAAATATTCAATAATCAAGTATATTTTTATCCCAGTTTTCTCTGGTAACACTTTCCTAGGTGCTTTTCTGAAAAAATTTTAACATGTATTAAATAAAATGATAACTTTGTGGGAAAATCCCCCCCAAACATGGAACAAAAAAAGTTCCAATTTTTTAAAGAAATTTTTTTAAAAGCCCATTTATTTAGAACCAAAAATCATAGTTCTAACAGAGAAATGTCTCATAAAGTAATATTCATGATGGGATAGAAAGGCCTTATGAATTGCTTTCATGTAAAAGTAATAGAAGTATATTCTATACAAAAGAGCATTGGATAGGAAGGCTGGAAACCTTAGTCTCCAGTGAAACAGTGGTTAGATACACAGGCAAGTTCATAGTTTTATTCTCTCTTAAAAAAAAAAAAATTAAAAATTAAAAAAATTTTAAAAAGCAAGAGAGAGAGGGATAACAACAACCAACGATAAATTAGACAATTTATGTAGAAGTGCTTATAAACTTTTGAAACTATCAAAGTGTTTTGCCTTTATATTTTAGGGAAGTAGGAGCATTAGTAAAGACTAGTCTCCTTTACTATATTTTGAGATACAGAAAAACATAGATTCCATCTTGTACTTCTACCAAGCAAAAATCTCTGTGAAAAAACAGGCATATTGAAAGAAAAATTATAATGTTAAAGTATATGAGTTAATCATTGCCTTATTAGACTGGTTTAATAGCATTTTTTTCCTATTCTCTGTTTAGTCTCAATTTTCAATATTGACTGATGAATGCCAAAGCCCTCTAAGTCTTACCGTTCATTTTGCATAGCAGTAGACATGGGATTGACTGTTGGGCTCACAGATTTGTTTCTTTCCCAAATCATCATAAGTTCAGCCATCCTCTCCTCAGCACACTGTGCAGTAAGCCTAGCTTCTGCATCCTGGTCCCAACAGTCTTCGATTGTCTCCTTGAGTGACCTCACTGCCTGTAATAAAGTAAATGTCAAATAGTATATCTTTAAAGAAAATTAAGTATTGAGATTTTGAGTGACATGAGATAAAAGAATGTTTTTTAACCAATATTTTACACAGCTATCATAAAATATTTTAGACTTCAGAGATTTGTAAAGGGTCACATTTCTCAAAAGATGAGGAACAGCTAAGCAAGCAGGGTTTAACTTAAACTCCTAAAGAATTACCCATAAACGTAAGCAGTTGTAAAAAGTTACATGGTTCGCCAAGGTCACAGGTTTATGTCATTATTCATTCACAGGACTGTTATTTCGATCAATAACCATTAATCTCACTTCAAAAATGAGCTTTGAATTTGATGGAATTTTGGCACGAGGCTATCTTCAATCTCTAGGTGAGCTTTTTTACTATTAGTAAAGAGTACTACGTTCTAACTATGAAATTTAAAGGGTTGGCATTTTCTTATTCTTTAAACTAGTTTCAATAGTAGTATCTAAAGCAGTCTTATTCTGTAGTATTCACCCAAATCAGTAGTGAACAATAGTCTCCCTTTTGGGGAAAGTTGGTTTCAACTTCCTTTTAAAAAACAGATTTTGGGATGCCTGGGTGGCTCAGTTGGTTAATTAAGGGCTCGACTTCGACTCAGGTCATGACCTCGTGGTCCGTGAGTTCAGGCCCCATGTCGGGCTCTATAATGACAGCTCAGAGCCTGGAGCCTGCTTCAGATTCTGTGTCTCCCTCTCTCTCTCTCTCTGTCCATGCTGTCTCTCTCTCTCTCTCTCTCTCAAAAATAAACATTAAAATAATTTTTTTTAAGTAAAAAACAGATTTTGTGTATTTGACAAACTGTCTATCCAGAATCCTTTCAGACTTGTTTTTGGATTTGTTGTTATTAAGCTTGAAAGTTTTTCACCTGCTGATATTCATAGTTCTTGTGCCTTTAAAACACATTAAAAAAAATTAAGGTAATGGTTGTCAGATTTAACAAATAAAAATATACTACTTAATTTTAATTTCAGATAACTGACAAATAATTTTTAGTATATATTCCATGCAATGCTTAATCTGAGCATTTTATCTCATAAGCCTATTTTAAGCTAAAATCCTTGTTAGCAATCTTGGCAACATTTTTTGTGTTTTCCTAATAATCTCTGTTCTTGACAAACAGATCCAAACATGTAGGAAATTTGATAATGTTTATTCTGGGCATAGGCTAAATGAATACCTGCACCATGGCCCACCCTGACACCATCTTTCCTGCTCCCTTGGGTCTTCTAAGCTGCCTGCCTCAGTGCCACAGCACAAATCCAAGACTATATCTTTTAAGGCTGAAATTTATATTGAAATTTTTTTACGTTTATTTATTGAGAGAGAGAGAGAGAGAGAGAGAATATCCCAAGCAGCCTCTGCAATGTCAGTGCAGAGCCCTATGCGAGGCTCAAACCCATAAACCATGAAATCACAGCCTGAGCCAAAATCAAGAGTTGGACGCTCAACCAACTGAGCCACCCAAGTGTCCTGAAATTTATATTGAATTTTGAAATCTATTTTAATATATGTTCCAGGCTCTGACTACTGAGTAAAATTCAAACAATATAGATATCAATTAATAATCTTCTCACTAAATAATAATCTACCTATTTCTCAAATTTTAGAAGAACCTGAAGAATAGATACTGATCATACAGAGTTTAAGGGCAACTGTGTAACCTCCCTGAGGTAGAAGTTTGGTGTTTATGTTAGAAGTAAAGTTGAATCTGTTATTTATGGTAGTTATGTTCTACAAAGTTGCTGTAAATGCTGAATTAGTGAACACTGAACCATTGTTCCTGGGGGAAATACGGGGTTAGACTCCTGTGAGCCTCTGGCCACAAGATTTTTGCCAACTGATCAACACATAATCTTGTTTTATTTGTGTTTCTGTTTAAGGACATCTTTTTTCTTAAAGTTTATTTATTTTGAGAGAGAGAAAGTGTGGGGGAGGAGAGGCAGAGAGAGAGGAGAGAATCCCAAGCAGGTCTGCATGCACAGTGAGGCTAGAACCCATGAACTAAGAGATCATGACCTGAGCTGAAGTTGGATGCTCAACCAACTGAGCCACCCAGGCGCCCCCCTGTTTAAAGACATCTTTAAAAATAGTTATTGGGGCGCCTGGGTGGCGCAGTCGGTTAAGCGTCCAAATTCAGCCAGGTCACGATCTCGCGGTCCGTGAGTTCGAGCCCCGCGTCAGGCTCTGGGCTGATGGCTCAGAGCCTGGAGCCTGTTTCCGATTCTGTGTCTCCCTCTCTCTCTGCCCCTCCCCCGTTCATGCTCTGTCTCTCTCTGTCCCAAAAATAAATAAACGTTGAAAAAAAAAAATTAAAAAAAAAAAAATAAATAAAAAGTTATTAATTATTAACTATGCTCATGGCCAATAGCACTCTACATAATCGCCTAACAAAGTAAATCTAGCATACATTTTTCTTCTTCAAAAGGCACATCACAGCCTTTTAATGCTTCGGAGCACTGTACTCAGCACTTCAGCACTACATGTGGGGCTATTTTAGCCCAGAAATCACTAACAAAATGCCCCAAATGTGAAAAATATGCTAAACAAATGCCAAAAAGGACACTTGTTTATAGTATAAGAGATGAAACAAAAAGACAGAGTGCCTTGTTGATTTCATTTGGGAAAATATACATCTGATGACTAAAGTTTTTTGCTGCTCTGTGTACATCCATGAATGACCATAAAAACGTTCAGAGTACTGATTTGGGGATTACAAATCAATTTTAGCAGGTAGTCAAATTCCAAATATGAAATCTGTAAACATGAGAAAAGACTGTATGTAATGGATTTAAAACTGACTTGGATTTGAAGACCACAAAGGAAGTTCAGAAATCAACTTAATTAACTTTTTAAATAAACACACCTCTAAAAACTAGTTATACATTTATCTTAGTGGATTTTGATATTGGTTTGATAAAATGAGTTTGTCTCCAGTTATGAAATGAGAATTTTTTCTTTTTATTTTGAAATAATTTCAAATTTACTTTCTTGTCTTTCACAGCCTTGACATTTTTGAGGATTATAGGCCAGTTACTTTTTAGAATCTCAGGATTATAGGCCAATTACTTTTTAGAATCTCATGGTTAGATTCAAAGTTTGAAACTTTGACAGAAAAATCACAGAAGAGATGCTGTGTTTTTCTCACTGCATCTTATCATGTGGTTCACAATTTTGATTTGTCTCATTACTAGTGAAGTTAACCTCGATCACATGTCTGAGTTGGTGTCTGCCAGGGTTCTTTCTCTATTGTAAAGTTCCATTTTTCCCTTTTATATTCAATCAGTGGGTTTTTTAAAAACTTTCATCAGTGTTTTTGGGGTGGGAGGAATACTTAAAGTGTCTGTAAATATAATGTTCTCTATACACTTTTCACCCACCATTTTTGGCATCTCGATGTTTGTTGGCTGAATTTCTGTGATGATTGCTAGTTACAAGACATTTAAAAAATGATAGTAAACACAAAATAGAAATATGGACAAAGGGCACATAAACGAGAAGTGCAAATGCCTTATAAAATATGCAAACATGTTTAATCTTATTCACTATGTTGAGGCAGTACAGTGTAGTATTTAAGAATATTAGTTCCGGTTTTGTAGCAAGAGTGCCAGCTCAGTTAAGAACCTGGCTTCAAATCTTGGCTCTACTACTTACTAGCTGCAAATTAAAACAAGATCCATTTTCACCTATAACATTAACAAAGATTAACAAAGGTTCCTATCCATCAACCATCTGTTCTCCTAATTTATAGGCAACCAATGTTACTAGTTTCTTGGGTATTCTTTCAGAGAAACTTAATGACATTTTTCTTCAAACAAATACCTGTCATACACACAAATTTATAGCTCCATTCATTACTAAACATAAAGTGTAACACAGTGAAGTGTACACAGTGAAATTTTTCTAAAGCAAAGATTTGGACAGCTTTCCATATAAAACTGAAAGAGACTGTTCTTCCCCAAACAGAGCACTGTCTATTGCACAGAGTCCCATTCACCAATTGCTGGCCCAGAAGACTCAGAAATACCAAAATCCAAGCAGCTAAAAATTGTATATTGACTGTTCTCTGTATCTGAAGTTAAGAGAGACATGGAATGAGGCTCTATTTATTACTTTTCATTATACAGTTGGGAAATAATTTTCAAAAAACTTTTTCAAAAAGAGACCCCACCCTCCACCAAAACAAGACAACTCATCAAGGCATTGTCTGGATGTAATGAAAATTTGATAAACAGAAACCTTGGTCTCTACCTCTATGAAGTTTCCATTTTTATGATAGAATCATCACTGATGCATAATAATACATAGTGGTTAACAACTGTTGAGATCTTACTATGTACTAGACTGTGTTCTAACTCATTTAATTCTTTTATATTTTAAGGAGGCTCTATGCTTAATGTGGGGCTTGAACTCATGACCCAGTAATCAAGAGTTGTATGCTCCACTAGACTGAGTCAGCCAGGAGCCCCTAATTCATTTAATTCTTATTTGAAGTAAGTGGGAATTATCATCCCCACTTTTCGTATGCAGGAAAAGAGACCCAGAGGAGAAATTAGGGCACACATCTAGTAAGTGGCAAAGCTAAGGTCAAAGCCCAGGCTGCATAGCTCCACAGTTCATACATTATCGTATGTTGAATGCCTCTAAACTATGCTGATAGAACACAGCCAGTTCCTAGTGAATAAATGGGTTCTATTATAAAAGTTGTAAGTTGATTTTTTTTTGAGAAAAATCTTTATAAGTTCTAAACAAAGTATAAATAATGGTTAGTAAGTCATTTACACAAGTAAAGATTTAGAAGTAAATTAATATAATGAAATAGGGGAAGGGAAAAATAAGAAAAATAGCTGAGAATTTAAAGAGGTTGACTACAAACAGGATTCTGAGGTCCTGAATAACGATTTGGTCATAGATGGTTGTTCTAAAAATAAGTAAAGCAATACTGAATGTCCCAGAGTAAGTAAAAAAA